TTTAAAAATTTAATTACTATTTATTATATATATTTATAATACATAAAATATTTAAAAATATAAACAAATAAAATAAAAATACCACTAAAACAATATATTTTAAAAGCAGTAAATAAATGAAAACATATAAAATAAATGACTAAATTACAGTGAAAATAAAATTAAAAATCTAATTCATAATTAATCGAAATATTAGGGATTAACATGCTATTTCTTTATTTTATTTATTTAATGACTAAAATAATTATCTAAAATTAGGATATTATAATAAAATAAATTAAAAATATAAACTAGGGATTAAATATTATTTATTAAAATTAAGGGATTAAATCTGTTATTTATCCTAATATATTATTTTAATAAAAAGGACTAAAATAAATAAAATTAAAATTTCGAGATCAAATTAAAAGTATTATAATTCAATTTAGTGACTAAAATGTAAAGTTACAAGTTAGGAGGACGGCGGACGGGGTTTAACTATTATCTAATTACACGCATAGTCCTTCCCGAAACGACGTCGTTCGGGAAGGCCTATATAAGGTCCAAAACCGGCTGGCCCGAAGGGCCAGATTCATTTCTTCATTTTTCCTCTCTCTCTCTTCTCTGAGAGAGAGAATTTTTCTCTTGCTTCTCTCTAAAACAGAGAGAAGCCAGCCGGCCGGCCACCGTCAACCGGTGTTCTTCTGCCGCCGGCCACCGTCAAGTCCGCCGCCGGCCACCACATCCGGTGGCCGGAATATTTTTTTTTTACATTGAAACGTAGATCGGAACGTCCTAATGACGGTTCCGATGATTTTTTCCTTTAAATGGCTCCCGATCGGAGCAAATCTAAAAAATATACCTTCGGTTTTTCGAAGGTTTTGGTGAGATCCAGTGGTCGGCTTCCTCGGTAAGCTTCTCTCCTCCTTTTTCTTCTATTTTTGGTTGCTGGTTGTGGGATGTTGACTGAGATCGTTGGTAGTAGTTTGAAAATATATTGTTTCTCTGTTTTTTGTTCTTTCTCCGGCTCTGTGTTCTTCTTTTTTTCTGTCTTCTTTTTCTTTTTTTCTTTTTTTTTTCAGGTTCGGGTGGTGGCTTTTATAGCCACCACCGGTGTGATCCTCGGACCGGTCCGAAGAGTGAGTCTCGGTGAGTCACCGGACTACCAGTGGTGACTCACCCCTTAGCCATGGCGTGTGGAGGGCAGCTGGGTCTTCTGGAGTCTTTATTTGGGACGTGGCAGCGGCGGAGGCGGCGAGAGCAGCAGCGGCGGCCGCGTGGCCCTAGGGTATCATACCCTAGGGTTTATATCTGGAGCCATCTGGACTGTTGGATCCTGCCAGATCCAACGGCAGAAAGCTGAGGCGGCTGGGATTAGGGTTAGGAAACCCTAACTGAAACCCTAAATGTTTTTGGGTTTCAGTTTGGTTTGGGCCAAAAAATTGGTTTGTAATTAATTATTTTTTAATAATATTTATATATGTATTTAATATATTTAATAATAATAATAATGATAATAATAATAATAATAATAATTATTATAATATAATAATAATAATAATTAATTAATATGGGTAAAAAATTAGTATCTTCACTTGTTCTTTCATTTTTTTGTTTGATCTTGATCTGAATTCTTTTGTCATGAATTTAGCGTAGATAGCGCAAACTTTTTTCTGTACCAAATGAACAATAAAGATTATTGTTTAATCTTGATCTGAATTCTTTTGTCATGAATTGTGCTTGACTGTATATGATGTTATTCTGATTTTTGCTCGTAGTTTGCCTGACCAACTGTATTATATTACTTGGACTCGCTGTAAGTGTAAGATATGAGTATGCTCAATTCTTTTCTACGCTTTCCATGTACTGGAGGAAATTTAAATTGAACGGATAATAAATGAAACTTGTAATTGTTTTTATATTCATTTTACCTTTGATGCATTCAACTTTATCTTGTGAACTTATTTTTTAAATGGGAAACTGCTGTTAAGTATTATGAATCTGTTCTATAGGCATTGGTGATCTTCTTTCTACTGTTGGTACTCTTCTCCAGCAGGCCATTTGCTTTTCAACCTCAACTGAAAATTTGGAGCTCTTGCTCAGAATGGAGGAGACCTTTATTCTTCAACAAGTTCCGAAAGTAGAAATGAAATACAACGTCCGTAAGTCGAGGGATAGATGGATGGTTATATCTTCCCCGGTTGTGTTGCAGGTACTTGGCTCACGAAGGATGGATGTTGGAGTTTTCGTACGTGTGTGCTCGAAATGATGTGCACCTTGCCAGGCTAATAGTATGTGAACCTGCATACAACATTCTTAAAAGCAATCTCGTATTTTGGACATGGTTTGAGATATATAACCGTCTATGTACATTGAAAAGTTTAGAAAAATAAAATATGCACCTATCCAAGTCTGAGTAAGATAACATGAAATGATCATACTTGCCTAGTTAGAGTTTACCTGAAAGTGCTACCAAATCTTTCAGTGAAAGTTCCTTAGCACGAAAGGTGAATATGAGAGTCGAGTCGCGAGCTGCAATGGTGAGTATATCCAACACAGGAAATGACTCAGGTGCAAGCTTTCTCTAGTTTAGTCGTAATGCATTGACCACGTCAAATCCTCTGACAGAGTTATTGTTCGATAATATCGACCCTCACCCTTCAAGATTTTCCAAAGATCAAACAGGTTGAAGATTGAATCCAAGACATAAAAAAAACAGTTTTATGAAACAATAATGCTCACGTTAACAAAGCTATCATGGAAATGCAAGCTGAGGAAAAGAAGCCACCATTCCAGGTTCTTGCTTCGAAATGGCATCGACGATGGCGGGACAAGTCGATTTGTAGTAGTTCGGAGAGAGTTGGCTTCCATGGCTGCCTAAACAGGTTCAACAGAGGCAAAGACAAGTAGAAGTGACAAGGAATAAACTTTAGCCACGGGGATTCTGACGAAATCTTGAAAAAAAATTGTGTTTTTTGCCTTCTAAAAGCAACACAAAATGAAATATATAGCAGCCTTTTTAAACCTCATGTTATCTCAATTAGTTCATTATTAGGTCCTTTAAAAGTTCATAATTTATCATTTGCTTAGATTAAGGTCTTAATTAACTCACTTAATATATAAGTTAATAAATTAGGATATAAGTAATTAGGAGAATAACTTAAGAGACAATTTCTGCTTTTATCATAATTTTATTTCTTAACTGTTTAAATAAAATTTAAAGTTAATTATTAGAATAATAAAATTTCAAAATTTTATTTTGAAATGTGAAGAATTTATTAAAATGAATCATCTGTGACGAAATTATCTCCGTTTTTTCAAGATTCAATTTACCAATAATAGATTTATTTTACAATATTCTTTGTTAAACCAAGACAAATTATTATATTCATATATTCCTAAAATATATTACCAATTGGGGTCTTTAGAAATAAAAAAGTATCTTATTCATCAAATGCATGTCTAAGGGGAAGGAGGAAATGAAATCTCTCTGGGCGCACGTTAGCTGGCCTAATGGGTCTCCAGATTTTCTTCTTCGCTTCTGATCTTCCTCTTCGATTTGCTATTCCCAGTTTTCTAGTTTTGTTCTTTGTTCTTTTTCATGGGTTCGGAGTCGCGGAGTTTAGATTGGCGGAAACTGTTTGTGGGTTCAAAAGAGCAGGCTCTCAAGTTTTTTCCCCCTGATCTTCAGGATGGCGTTGCTACCGTCAAGCCCCCTTCTAACGTGATAGAGGAAGGCATTGCTGATTGGAATCTCGCTTTAGTGGGGCAGTTCATTGATTTGGCCCCCAATTTCAGTTCGCTGCAACGAATCATCGAATCGATTTGGGGAAATTCTTCGCAGGTTAAGGTTAGTTTAGTTGGCCCTAATCTTTATGTTTTTTCTTTCTTGAATCTTGATCTGAGGGACTGGGTCTTGGATAACGGCCCTGGCATATTCAGAACAAACCCCTAATTTTAAGGAAATGGGAGCCAGGTCTTTAGAATCTTAGTTTTGATTTGTCTTGTATGTCGGTTTGGGTTCAGCTTCATAATGTTCCTCTGGAGCTCTATACTCGCAAGGGCCTCAGTTACATAGCTAGTGCGATAGGCACTCCCCTATATATGGATTCCATAACTGCTTCTAGGACGAGGCTGGAATATGCCAAGGTGTGTGTTGAGCTTGAAGTTGGTGGGGTTATTCCTGAATTGATTCATGTGCTTTTGAATGGGTCTTCTGTTAGAATCAGAGTTCATGTTCCTTGGTTATCTAAGAGCTGTGTTAAATACAAAGTGTTTGGCCACCATGTCAGTTCATGAATGGAGGCTGGACACTCTCTGAAGCCTAGAGATGTTAAAGTTTGGAGGAAAAAGGACTTTTCTAATTCTTCTGCTGATTCTGTATCTAACTTAGTTGCTCCTGTTTCTGACCCAAATATGCATGTGCCTGATCCTAGCTGTAAGGTTGTTCTTGGCAGTTCAAGTGGCGAGGCTTCTCTTGAGAGTAACTGTAATTCCAAGATTGACATGGGGCTGAGTGTGGGGAATGCCATTGAGACCTCTATGCAATCTTTGCAGGAGGTTAATGTTGATACAATGACTTCTGCCACTATAATTAATGGTTTTTCTGGTTTGAATACATCTGCTGCTTTGACTGCTTCTACTAGTGTTCAGGAGCAGGTGGTCTTTAGCCAGTGTGGTACTGGTCTTTCAACTGAGGATGTTGGGTTTACTGCCTCACAGGTTGGTGATGTCCCTCCTCTTCAAGATTCAATTAAAAAGAAGGTTAGGGGTAAGAAAAAGGAAGATGCTGGCTCTTCTAATAAGGTTGATAACTTGGCAGAGGGTTCTAAGAAGGTTTGTGTAGCTTCTTTGGGGGTGGTTGTTCTACTCAATGAGATAAAATCGAAGAAAAATGACCATTCTGATAAAGTCAAAGGTACTGGGGTGAGCTTTGGCTCTGTTAGTGGTGCTCCTTCTACTCTTCTCTGTTGATTGTTGGATTTTGGAATGTTAGGGGGCTCAATAGCCCCCTAAAACAGATGAAGGTTTTGAGGAGACTGATTTCTTTTGATGTTGATGTTATGTGCTTTATGGAATCTCGGATCAAGAGAGATAGCTCTGCCAAGTTTATCTCCTCCTTGTCTAGTGATTGGTATTTGGCTGAGAATTATGATTATGTTGAAGGAGGCAGACTTTGGGTCTTATGGAGGAGGAATCTTTCACTTTCTGTGTTGAGGAAATGTGACTAGGTCATTACTATTTCTGGCACTGTCGATGGTCATAGAATTATTATTACTGCCATCTATGGTAGAAATAATGGGGTTGTTAGGAGAGGTCTTTGGGACCATCTGAAGTCTGTAGGGAATGTTTTGGGTCCTTCCTCTTGGGTGATTGGGGGTGACTTCAACATTACTGCTAGCCTAGAGGAAAGTTCTGACTTTGAAATTATAGGAGTGCACTATACTCCTAATATGAGGGAATTTCAGGAATGCTTGGATGATCTTGAACTCATGGATCATCCTTTTTTAGGTCCTTTGTTTACTTGGTCTAACAGACAAGAAGACTCTTTTTTGGCCAGGAAGCTTGATAGGATACTGGTCAACCCTCATTGGATGCTAGATTTCCCTGAGTCCTTTGTTGAATTTAAGGCTCAAGGCGTGTCTGATCACTGCCTGGGTCTGCTTTGGTCACATAAAGGGGTCATGGTTAAGAAGCCTAGGCCTTTCAAGTTTTTTAATTGTTGGACTGGCCATGAGCAGTTTCTGAGCACTGTTGTGAATTCCTGGCTGGGCTATTGTGATGGAAACCCTATGCAGTGTTTGTTCAGGAAATTGAAGAGGCTTAAGTCCTGTCTTAAGGATTTTAACAATGAATTCTTCTCTGACATATCTGGTAGAGTTAAGTCCAAGAGATCCGATCTTGAGCAATTACAACTTTTCAACCTGTCCCATGTTGGTCAGAGGAGGATGAATGATGAAAGAATTCTCAAAGCTGAGTTGGTTGACCTGGAAATTGCTGAGTCAGAGTTCTACAGGAAGAGAGCTAAAATGCACTGGTTAAAGGAGGGTGATTTAAATACCAGGTTTTTTTCATCAGAAGGTTGATTCCAATAAAAAGAAGAACACTATCAGAGTTATTATGAGTGAATAGGGTCAGTGCTATGAGTCGTTTGAAGAGATGGCTGCAGAGTTACTTAGGTTATTCACTGATCTTATTGGATCTTCTGATCCCATGGTTAGTGGTTGTTCTGTGGAGAGCCTTAAGGATCTGTTACCTTACTCATTTCCTAATAACGCTGCAGTGTCTCTCACTAAGGAGGTGGATGGTTTGGAGATTAAAAAGGCCTTGTTCAAGCAAGGTAAGGACAAAAGTCCAGGCCCAGATAGATACACTTTTGGTTTCTTCAAAGCTGCCTGGGACATTGTTGAGGCAAATTTTATTTCTTCTGTGAGGTACTTCTTTCAATCTTCTGTTATGTTGCCAGCTTTCAACTCTACTGCCTTAGTTTTGGTCCCTAAAACCCCTAATGCTTATTTAGCTAGAGATTTTAGGCCAATATCTTGTTGTTATGTGGTGTACAAGACTATTACTAGAATTCTGGTGGATAGATTAATGCCTTTCTTCCCTGCCATGATTTCTCAGAGTCAGTCTGCCTTTGTTAGGGGTAGGAACATAGTTGATAACACCTTGTTAGCTCAGGAAATTGTTAAGGGCTATTCAAGGAAAAGTCTTTCCCCTAGGTGTGCCATAAAAATTGATTTACAAAAAGCTTTTGACTCTGTTAATTGGGGATTCTTACTTTATGTTCTTGAGGATTTGGGGCTCCCTCATATCTTTTATAATTGGGTCAAAGCATGTATTACCACTCCTATGTTCTCTGTTTCTCTAAATGGGAGCCTAGTGGGGTTTTTCAAGGGTGCTAGGGGAATTAGGCAAGGAGACCCCCTATCTCCTTACCCTTTTGTCATTGCTATGAATGTGTTGTATTCCCTTTTGGACGTTGCTGCTAAGCAGAGAATTTTTAAGTTCCACCCTAAATGTAAAAGAGTTCCTCTCACTCATATTTGCTTCGCGGATGATTTCCTTGTATTTTTCCATGGTTCCCTGGATTCTGTTTTTGGAGTATTGAGCACCTTAGAGAAGTTTTATGAGTTATCTGACCTCAAGTTGAATGTCCAGAAAACAAAATTCTTTGCTTATGGTTTGAGTTCTCATGTTCTGGATTAGATTTGTACTGCTTCTGGTTTTAGACTGGGGCATCTTCCTATTAGGTACCTTGGTGTACCTCTTATGACTAGAAAGCTCACAGGTAAGGACTGTGCAGCTCTGTTGGCCAGGATCATGCACAAGCTCAGCTAATGGTCTAATAGAAACCTTAGCTTTGGGGGCAGACTGCAGTTAATCAAAACTGTCTTGTTTGGTATCTTCAACTACTGGAGCAGACAACTCATCCTTCCTAAAGGGATTATCAGGGATGTTGAAAGGCTTTGTATGCTCTTCTTTTGAAAGGACAGTGACACCCCAGCTAGGGGCGCCCGTGTTGGTTGGAACCAGGTCTGTTCCTTAAAATCGGAGGGTGGTCTAGGGCTTCGAAACCTTGTGGTTTGGAGTAGAGCTTGTTGCATGCTGATTGTCATAAACATTTTGGCTAGGGAGGGCTCGCTTTGGATTGCATGGATAAAGGAATATTGCTTTAAATCTTTGAGTTTCTAGGAGGTTGAGTGCAAATCTCACTTTAGCTGGATCTTAACTAAACTGCTGAAGTTGAGGGGTGAGGCTAGGGGCTGTTCTTCCCCTATGCTAATTGGAGTTTAATCAATGGTAAGTGGATTTGGGATAATATCCGTGGCAGTAGAGATAAAGTTAGCTGGCACAGGTTAATATGGTTTTCTGGCCATATTCCCAAATTCTCTTTAATCTCTTGGATGGTCATTCTCGATAGGCTGCCTACCAAGGATAGGCTTGCTCGGTTCAGCTTGCTTGTTGACAATGTGTGTGGCTTGTGTGGTGCTGGAATGGAGTCCCGTGACCACCTTTTTGCTGACCGTTCTTTTGCTAGGGGCGTTTGGGGAGCTGTGTTGAACGCTCATGGTCTCTCATTTATGGCTCGCGCCTGGGACAAGCAGCTTCACTAGTTACTGTCAAACCTCAGGGGAAAAACCCTTCGAAGTTCGTGCCCTTAAGCTGTTGTGGACTGGCTTTCTCTATCTTATCTAGGAGGAGCGTAACCATCGATATCATAGGAATTTGATTCGTTCGATTGATGTCATTGTAAATAGGCTTTTGGAGGAGGTAAATATCAAGCTGTATAGGCATGGTTATATTGATTTGAGGTTGTAATTTGTTGCTTGTTCATAATTGTTTGTAACGTTTTGTAGCAGCTTTGGCTGTTTCTTTTGGATGGAAATATAACTTACTTATCCAAAAAAAAAAATATTACCAATTATATTTAGGTCCTATAGTTTATTTGATCGGTTGCTTTGATTTCAAAATTAATTATCAATGTTCATTTATTAGGTGTTAATGATATAATTTTTGTATTTTAGGGTAATTATTGTTAATTTTTAAAATCAATCGACATCCTTTCAAAAATTGCATCATAACATATCATAAATTAAATAAAAACCCGAGCTCGCAATTTCTAAATTAAAAATGAAGGGTAGTCGATTATGTATAATTTTAGGTGCAGTGGGTGCTAATTTCGCACACGTAATTGATTACTAAACTCGTTTTCTAATTTCGCAAATCAAAATATCGTTGTTTCAGTAAAACTAAACACTTTATTAAAATAACTCGATTTTAAATGATTAAATTTCACTTCAAAAATGATTAGTTATGACTCTCATTTTTACATTGTTTCTAAAATTCATCGAGTTTAAGGGTTGTTGTGACATGATTAAATCATAAATATGTAAAACTACAAAGTAATTTAGTTAAAATACGAAAAAGTATATTTATCTTGTCTTATGACTAACATGATATGAGTATGATTCTATGGTAAATTTCATTGTTATTGAGCCTAATTAAATTCATAAAATATTCATAAAACGTATAAAAATATTATTATTTTTTTATTGAAAATATATTCAATAAATGGCAATAAACTCATGTCCACGATAATTTTTTAGAATTTTCGATAAAATTTAAATTTAAATATTTTTTGAAATATCTATTTTTAATAATTAATATGTAATATTTTTTATACTTTATAATATTTTTATTTGTTTTTGAAATTTTAGTATTATTTTTTTAATAATTTATTTTTTTTAAAATATTTTAGAAATTTCATACTTTTTATTTATTTTTTATTAAATATTAATGAAGTCCTTGAGCTTTATAAAAAAAGAATCAATTAAGTTTTGAATTGTTTAAAATAATCAATTAATCACATTTGTCATACTATTATTTACCGTAGACTTAGGGATGGGCACGGGGCGGGTTTTTGGCTGCCATGACCTCATCCCAAAATGGTATTACTTAAACCCGACTCCGTCCCGTCCTGATAAATTTTAATATTTCTCTTGCCCCGCTGACCTAACCGATCCCGAATATATTAATATTTTAAAATAATATATTTTATAATAATATATTTATAATTATTTATTATATTTTAAATTATTAAAATAATATATTATATAATAATTTTTATATTTTAAATTATTAAAATAATATATTATATAATATTTTTATATTTTTAATAATTAAAGAATATATTTTAAAAATATAAAAATAAAAATCCTTAAAATCTTAAATATATTATATAAATATAAAGAAAATTAATAATTTAAACGGGGTCATTTTTTTCACCTTAAACCCGACCCCGACCCTCCCCAAAATTATTTGTCATATAACCCGCCCCGCCCCGCACTGCCCCAAACCCAAAATATTAAAAAAAAAAAACCTCTATAGGGTCGGGTCGGACCGGGACCAAACGGATTTGGGCTTTTTGACTATCCCTACGTTGACTAGGATGATTAAAACTCAACACGATTCGAAAATCAATTTCTTTTAATTTGAGTCAACTAGAATTGTCAATTTGATTTTCGAAGAGATAAAATTTCAAAATTTCAAGTAACTTTAAAAATTGAAAATTTGATTTAATATTTTGATAATTTTACTATTTGAACCCTCATTTTCTTTTTCATTCAATTTCTCTATAAACGTATTTGACTTTTAAGACCCAGGCTTCCTTTTGGTTGCGTAAATAATTGACAAAGTATAAAATACAAAATTTTAATTTCGTTTTGACTAAAATTACATGCTTTTACTTGACGGGTTTGTCAATCGGATAAGACTTGGATGATGGCAATGCATGCAGCTGTTGGGTTTAAGCAATTTTCAAGAAGAGGAATGGGGAGAATTAGGATTAAATTGATCAATGTGCAAAAATTTGAAGATTATTTTTTTAAAAATTAGTATTAAATAGATTAATATATAAATATTAAAGATTAAATATGTCACTATATCAATTTTAGAAGTTATCATGTCATCCTTCCATTAGTCATCTAACCAAAGGTGATCGAAATAGGCAAATTCAAAAATGTTTTGAGCATTTCGTGATATTTTATAGTTATAGTGATAAAAACAAGGGTAAACCCCACCAGATACCACTGAACTTTAGGTGTTGTATCGTTTAGATCATTAAACTTTTAATTTCATCAATTATAACACTGAACTTTGATTTTCGTTTCAATTATACCACTAGATCGTCAAATTGTTGATAGATGGATCAAAACGACATCATTTTGGTGAGGTATTTACGTAAATAGCCATCAATCATGTCATCGTGTCATTAACAATTTAACGCTTCAATGGTATAATTGAAATGCAAATCAAAATTCAATGTTATAATTAGAAAAATTAAAAGTTCAGTTGTATGAACGATACCACACCTAAATTTTGGTGGTATCTTATGTAGTTTACCCTAAAAACAAAAAGTACCCCATAATTTAATGAGGGAAAATAATCGAATTATTGTAGCAAGTATGTTATGCCAAAGAAAAGGCTTTTCTATAGCCCTAAAGGGCACTGCCTGTTAGCTACAGTAATATATCATAAACCTGCCATTACTACCATCATACTTAGTTTCTCAATCTAAGTCTTC